CACCACACACACACATGCACACACAATGTTTTTGTGTGTGTGTGTGTGTGTGTGAGAGGGAGAGAGATTCTGTATGGGTGTGTGTATGCAAGTTTGCATGTGTGCGAGTAAATGTATATGACTGTGTGTGTGTGTGTGTGTCTGGTCTGCATGAATGTGTGTGTGTGTGTGTGGTCTGCATGAATGTGAGTGTGCGTGTGCGTGAGTCTGGTCTGCATTAATGTGTGTGTGTGTGTGTGTGTGTGTTCTCACCCTCTGTACTGAGTCCCGGGCTGGAGGTGAAGCTGGCCACATCCACGATCTTCACTGCAAACTGTTGTCCAGTGTCTCTGTTGATGCATCTCCGCACCACACTGAACGGACCCCTGAAACACACACACACACACACACACACGCACACACACACACACACACACACAGCAAGTTAAATCAGTCCTGTGCAAACACCTCGACCTCCCCAGCCCTGATCTATTAATGGGATTACCCTAATATCATCATGTGTCCGTGGATTCTCGTGTGTGTGTGTGTGTGCGTGTGTGTGTGTGTGTGTGTGTGTGAGGTTCATCTGTTTATGATCATAGTGTTTCACCTCATACAGCCAATCTCACTCTGAGCACTCACTTCTGCAGTCTAACCTGACGGAAATCACACAGATCTTATAATATATATAACACACACACGCACACATGCACACGCATGCGCACGTACACACACCTCTCTCTCACACACACACACACAGAAGAGTGAAGGCCAGTCAGAGAAGGTGAATGAATGAAGCGTCAGTAAGAGCCTCACACCAACTCTTATTCTACATCCTCTCTCTTTCTGTGTGTGTGTGTGTGTGTGTATCTATATAAGCACACAGTGAGTGGAATCAAAGACTCTAGAACACAGCAGTCGGGTCACTCGTGTAGTTCTGAATGGAGGAAAAGTGTAAGGGTCAACATGGCGAATGAAGCCCCGCCCACTGCAGGAGCCAATCAGTGATCACTATAGGCTGAGGATTCTCTGGGGGAGGAGCTTGTGTAAGAGCAAACGTGTACTCTCGCAGCAGTTTCTGTGCTGCACACACACACACTGCACTCTCACACACACACAGACAGCGGAGGTATATCCACACAGAGAGAGAGCGTGAGGACATCACTGCTGAGTGAACACACTACTCCTCAACACTAATGCTCTCTGTTCGGTAATCTGAATGAAATGAACGTGAGGTTCAGTCCATCCTGTCACACACACATCACATGATGACACAGCAGCAGATACTCAAACACAGAGTAGGCTGTGTGTCTGCAGACTGCAAGAGTAAGATCAAGTCCAATATCAGGAGATCACATATGATCATAGAGAGATTTAAAGAGAGGAAAGGGCCACACATCATCAGTCAACAGCACTTTACACGGCTGTCTGATTCAATTAAGCGAGTCGGTGATGCTGACATGAGTTCAGTTACTAACCTCTCCATATTGTTCACGCAGGTCAGGGACACGCAGCAGCAGCAGCAGCAGCAGCAGCGCACGCTACAGAGAGCAGAGCGAAAGCAGGAGCATGTGCTGAGAATATGGATATTCTGGACTCAAACGGCTGCTAACTGCTTTGCACGTGTGTTTGAGTTCTGTATGTGTCACTTTGCACAAACGTCACCACTGAAACTGTGATTTGTCCGTTTCTGCGGGTCATTCACAGGTTGTGACCTTCATTTGCTCTTTCCTGAGGTAAATGCTTTAATGTTTAGTGCAGGGGTGTCCAAACTCAGTCCTGGAGGGCCGCAGCTCTGCACAGTTTAGTTCCAACCCTAATTAAACACACCTGATCAAACTAATTGAGTCCTTCCGGCTTGTTTGAATCCTACAGGTAAGTGTGTTGGAGCAGGGGTGGAACTAAACTGTGCAGGGCTGTGGCTCTCCAGGAACTGAGTTTGACACCCCTGGCATAGAGTCACCATTATAAGCTCTTTGATGGGAGTAAATCAACGCAAATGACACAGGTAGGTCATATGACCATGACAAAACGGCGGATGTAGTACGCCCGAAATCCATTCATACTTTTCACATTTATACTGTATGGAGCGCACTTTACTAACGGCCGAGCAGTGCGTTTACATTCATATGCAGTACCTAGTGAGTAGTAGGCGGTTTCAGACGCAGAGTTTGGACACCCCTGTTCTAGTATATCCAGTAAGAGCTTGATTAGCAGGTTCAGGTGTGTTTAATCAGGGCTGGCACTAAAATATGCAGGACACCGGACTGAGTTTGGGCAGCGCTGGTTTAAGCGGGCCCAGTTGCATCTCCTGATTATCCTACTCAGTGCTGTTGAACTGTTTGCGTTCTTTAAGACTTCCTGTTGTATGAATTAGGACTGCATGACATGATATAGAAGTGAAGGGCGTTTGGTAATGCACGCTGAGACGCATGATGTGCACAGAAACCTGCGCTCTAAGCTGAATAAGGTTCTCCTTCATCTAATGCTGCTTGAATGGTTTGAAATGATTAAACGGAATACTTTCATCAAGATTACAAATGAGTCTGGCTTACCAAAACATGTTTTTAAAGCTCACAGGCACATCACGTGCTGCTTTCTCAGTTATGAAACGCATCGCAACAAAAACTGATGCTATCTGATGTGGGGTCAGGGTGAGCCAGGTCTACCCTGTGGAGCCGGGCCTGGGTGGAGTTTCTAAATGAATGAATATAATAGTAGATCACATTAATTGGTTGTGGATATAGTTGTAGAAAACTCATTGATGAAAACTCAACATTTGATGAAAAAGTTCTCTGGTAATTATTTCCAACATCCAGCTAACAACATCTCATCCCGCATGGCTCAATGCCTCTCTAACTTACTACAAGTTACACCCCTGTCTTACACTCCACCAACAGCACACTTGCAAACGCCCACAAAGAGTCATCAGATGATCATTCTCCAGAGGATAATCATGTGTAGAACAGACGTAACTGAGGTCGGTGTCGTGATCTTGTTCTCTTCGAGTGCACATTCGCTCAGATCACCTGAAAATATGCTGATTGTGTTTGATTCCAACGTTTAATAATTAAACTCATGAGATGACTGATGTTTAATTTGACTAATGATTAACAGTTCCTCATTTGTAATCATAAGCTTGGCCAACAGTTCAGGAGAAGGTGATGTTTCCCCATTCAGACAGAATGACCAGCACACTGACGAGAGGCCTTTCAAAGATGGCCACCGAGCGAAATCACCTGCCTTAAAGCAGTGGACATTGTGTATGCGTCTGTGTTGTGTATTGTCTGTGTTGGTGTTGGTAATTAAGGTACAATAATCAGGTAATTAACTGCCAGTCTGCTATTTCACACACTCATTTTCATATATATTATTTCTCATACAATACATCGTTTAAATTCAACTTTGATAAACAAGCAAAAACTAAGCAAAGGTGAATTTTCAAGATCAAAAGTTGTCAGAGCAGAGATCATGTCCCATAATGCAGTTCATCACCATAAATAACCACAAAAATCAAAGTCTGCGTGAACCGAAGGTTGCAGAGAAGTTTATTTCAGTGTGTTAATGCACTTCCAGCTGAAACTGAATATTCAATAGGGGTGGGGCTTTCAGTGGGTGGAGGCGGGGCTTTCTTTAGGCAGGGAGTGGCTTTCTTTGGGCAGGGAGTGGCTTTCTTTAGGCAGGGAGGGGCTTTCTTCAGGCAGGGAGGGGCTTTCTTCAGGCAGGGAGTGGCTTTCTTTAGGCAGGGAGGGGCTTTCTTCAGGCAGGGAGGGGCTTTCTTTAGGCAGGGAGTGGCAGCACTTAAACCCAGAGGCAGACGCTCACAGCTAGTGAAACACACTGTGGGTTTTTGTAGAGTGTACTGGATATTTTTACTGCAGTGTAAGCCTCAGCGCTGGTCATATCTCCATCATGATGTGGTAATAGCGTGATCATAAAGCGCTCGCCTGACTGATCAAATATGAATGAGCTGCAGTCAACGCTAAGAGGCTTTCTGGGCTGTAGTATCAGCTTTCACCT